GTAAATAAGCTTAAGTTAAGCTAAAGTTATTTACTAGTAAATAAACTTAGGTATTAAAAGTAAAGTTATTTATTAGTAAATAAACTTAAATTAAGCTAAAGTTATTTATTAATAAATAAACTTAAATATTAAAGCTAAAATTATTTACTAATAAATAAACTTAAGTATTAAAACTAAAGTTATTTATTAGTAAATAAACTTAAAGTTATTTATTAATAAATAAACTTAAATTAAGCTATTCTTTATTATAAATAAGGGGGTTACTATATTCTATTCTTATATACTATATATAGAAAATTAAGTCTATATCTATTAGTATATAGTCTATTTAAAGATTTAGTAATAAATAGAAGGTATAGTAAAAGGCTACTAAAATAAATTCTAATATAATATATATAATATAAAGGTAGAATATATATATTAAGACTCTTTATAAATTTATAGTATTTATATAAAATAAGATAATAAGGTAGTAATATTATAGGTATTATTAGGAATACTTTATTATTAGTAATTAAATAGGCTAATTATAACTTATACTTTAATAATTACTATTATTAAAAAGCTATATTTATATAGACTATAGTATTAATTCTACTTAATTTAATAAGCTATATATTAGCTAATTAGGCCTAACTTAATATATAGATATTTAATATATTATAGGTAGTAATACCTAATTAAGGCTAAACTAGGCTATAGCCTTTATACTATTCTACCTATATTACTACTATATACTATAAGAGTAGGGTAATAAATCTCTACTAGCTAGAAAGCTATTATATATTACTAATAATTATATACTATTTAATTATTACTATTAAGGTATATAGTATATAGTAGATAAAGAGATAATTACTTAGATATAATATAATAATAAATATATTAATCTATAAAGAAAGTCTTATAGATATTCTATTTATACTACTATTAATTAGGTATAGAAGGGGTATATAGAATAGTCTATTTAAGTAACCTTAATACTTAAAGTATTAATTAATAAAGAAAGAGTTTTAAATAGTCTATTAGCTATATATATAGGTAAAGTTAAATAAATAGTTAGGTATAGTCTTACTACCTATACTAAGTTAATAATATAACTTATATTAAAAAGGGAGTAATAAACTATTTATTAACTATAAGTATACTAGTAGTAAATAGGTTATTAAGAAGGGTTTAGTTAACTAGTATATATACCTAGTTTATTAAATAGTTATTAATAGTCTATTCTCTAGACCTAAGGTTAAGTAATAAACTAGAATACCTTATTAGAATATACTAAGTAGGCTAGCTTTAAGGTTATTAATAATCTCTATCTATATAGTATAGCCCCTTTTTATATACTATTTAGAATAATCTATTTACTATTATTTATTATAGCTATATTTATAAAACTATATTAACCTTTATTATTATATACCTTTTTATATATTTAAAGTAAGTTAAATTACTTATATATATTAAATACTAAAGTAGCTATATAGAAAATAAGGTTAATAGCTACCTTTAGTATTAATATAAGGAATTCTTTACTAAGTAATATAGGGAAATCTTTATAATAATATAGTAATATATAAAAGTAATATAAAGTTAATTTTAAGTTACTACTATAACTAGACCTAACCTATAATAGTAGCTAAACTATACTAGTAGTTAGGGTAAAGGGTTAGAAAAAATAGGGTTTTTTTAAACTAAAGTTATCTACTAGTAGATAAACTTAAAGTTATCTACTAGTAGATAAGCCTAAATTAAGCTAAAGTTATCTACTAGTAAATAAACTTAGGTATTAAAGCTAAAGTTATCTACTAGTAGATAAGCCTAAGTTAAGCTAAAGTTATCTACTAGTAAATAAGCCTAAGTTAAGCTAAAGTTATCTACTAATAGATAAGCCTAAGTTAAGCTAAAGTTATTTACTACTAAATAAACTTAGGTATTAAAGCTAAAGTTATTTACTAGTAGATAACCTAATTAACTAAGTTATCTACTAGTAAT